TGCTTTCAAACAGGAAAAGTATTGACCAGTAAGTCACAGTTTTAACCAAAATAATTGAATACAAATGCATAAAGAGGTTCCTGATAATGGTTGAATCAGCCAGCATACGTCAAGGCTTTGCCGGGCGCGGACTAATTGTGCAGTGGTAATCGATAATGACGTCATTGTTCTTGTTTTGATTACCAATCGCTGGACGATTAGACTCCCATAATTAGAAGAGTAATAGATAGTCATCATTACTTTTTCTTTCTCTCGGCCCTCTCTACTTTCAACTTTTATTATTTTGCAATTGAATTGCTCGATAAAATCGTGTTTTATACAAGAAATCTGCTTAATATCACCGGAGATTAATTACACTTCAGTGAATTATTTTGGGGTATCTCCAAGACATGATATTGACTCATAACAAAGACCCACGTCACTCACTATCGACTGATTCTCAGAACCTATTTATTGTCAGAATCTTAAAATGATTCATCCATTTTCCCAAATAACACGTAAACTTATTATTAAACAGCATCGTGCAAGTTAAGGCCCTGAACCCGTAGTTATATACATGCATACGTCATTCTGTATCGGTATTAATCGCAAGTTTACCATTCGTAAAGCAATCCGTTTGAACCTGAAACCAACGGGTCAACATCCAGGAGCAAATGAGAAATGCTTGTTCATCTCTTTGAAAGCGTAGTAAGAATATTTCTATGACCTAGAAAAAATACATAAGCCTTATAATATGTATTGATGTGCTCCATGTAATATCATAGGACAATTTATGTGTTTATTGTCACAGATGAATGTAAAATTTTTCCTTAGGCACCCATTAAATCCTGCATTTTTCATATCATTTAATTAAATTCTTAAAATTTAATTGTGCATGTGTAGACATTGTCAGGAAATCCTACACAATGCTTGAGTGCATTATGTAAATACTGTGCATTTTCAAAGTTTTCAGATGCTAAAATTTCAAAATGGTAAGGTTCGCGGCATTGCTAAGGCTTTTTAAAACTATAAAATACATTTTAGATATGTCATTGCATTGCCAACTCGTTTTTGATTTTAATTTGTAATCAGCGTTCTCTTAGCTGTGTAAGAACACCTTTGTTGGGATAAGATACAGGGATGGGGTGATCATAATTAGCAATCGTAATCAGCTGTAATTGACAACAGTTTGTTGAGTAATCATAAATAATCATCAATTTTTCTGATTACAAGTGATCGTAATTTAATTAATGAAGGCCCTGTAATCATAAATACTTTTTCAATACTTTTATGATTACAATAGTAAAAGTGAAATTTATAAATTCATATTCATTGTTGATATCCTCTAAATAATTTTACGTCTAGAAATTTGCCTATACTTATATATTGTGTTCAGACATCTTTAATATCAAGCAGTTAACACTTTCAAAATGTTTTGCATCTAGATCGTTAGACATGGTTAACAGTGGTAGAGTGTACATGTACCGGGCTGATTTGAGTACAAATCTTTTGGAGTTGTAATATCGCTCTAAATCTTTATAACAACTAAATTTTTAGTTTGATTCGTATGACTATAAATCACAACTTTGTTTTCTTTACAAAAATATATAATTAACAGCCAGGATAATAAAGATGGGTGAATTAAAAAAAATGACCACCAAACCGAAATTTTTTGGAAAAATTCAACTGCTTATAACATATTTTTCACTTACATCATCATATTGTACATGCATTCTAGTTTAAAATCCTGAAGTGGCAATAGAATAGACAATTGGATTTAAAAGTTTCAGAATTTTTATTAGTAAAATTTCTTTTGAAAAAAGAAAATATCATTACACGTTAAAAGACTTTCTAAAATACATAATCACAAGAAATTATAGTTTTTTATTCTTCAAAATGGTAAAAGGGGTATAAATGATTAGATCTAGACCTTGATTGAGTATCTTCTCTTGTATATGTGACAAAAAAATTGGCTTTTTGATTGTTATTTTACATTAATTTTCAATTCTGGTTTGAAAAGTTTTAATATGAAAAAATATGAAGCAATAAAATTCTCTAAAATTCACTTTTTTGTCTGTTCAAGTCAATTCTTTAAATCTAAGCCAAAAAGAATTTTTATATACGAGTTCTCTTACAAAAAATACTAGATTTTGAAGTGACCCTATGTTACATTATTGTGTTGCACTCCTGACATCTGATATGTATTTTATTTAACATTGTTTTAAAAATTAGAACACACAATAACCCATTCTTACTTTGTAAATCAATTTGTCGTTTTGATATTTTTCATCGTTTACGGCAGGTTTTTCATATTTTGAAGACCTTAAAACATGATTGTTTGCAAAGTGTAATATATATAAATTGTATTTAAAAATATATGTGAAATGATGAAAACTATTCCCTGAGTAGACTGTAAAATTTCTGTAATTTGTTGACAGACATAGTGTTTTGAACATCAAATTGTATCAAACATTTTTTTCAATTTATTTTTTAGTAAAGATAATTAAAAAGCATTGGTAATTATAAAGCAGTTTTGTTGCACTCCTGACTGCAGTAAAATTGAAAATTAAAACCATAGAACACAAAAATTCATAAAGTGTTGGCAACATCAAGTGGTAATGAAATTGTGCAATATTTATAGTCCAATACTTCATAATTAAAACAGATGAAAAAATTTAAAATTCGCATTTTATCTGGAATTATTCCCTATTTATGCCAAAAATCTAGCTTAAATGTATATTTAGAAGATAAAATATATTTTATAACATATTTTCCATTAGAGGACAAACACAGTAACACACCAGAAAAATTCTACTCCTCATTTTTTCTTTATTTTTATTCTTATTTGATGTTTTTAATTTTAACATATTTGTTGCACTCCTGACCAAAAGCATTTGGGCCTTTAAAGTAGAATTGTGAAGTGAAAATTACATAAGAACTTGTTCTGTTGTTTCAGTGAAGTTGAGGAGGAATTACTTGAATTTTATGACAATTTTTTAGTGTGTTTATTTTAACATTCATTAAAAAAAATCATAAAAAAGATTAAAACACATCTGAATTGATAAAATTGACAAAAGAAGGATTTTAATAATAAAACTATCAATAATTTAGTATTAAATCATACAAAAAAATCATTATTAATTAATGAATACTTCTAAGCATGAATAGAAGTGTTTTCGTCGCACAATTTGAATCTTTAAAAAAAATGTGTTGCACTCCTGACCATAGAATTATAGATCTGAAGCACAGACAGATCCTGTAATTGATAAATCTACATGTATTTGGTAAAAATGTTCTTTGTGTCTTTATTTTCCAAAATAAAAATCAGAAAATCATATAATGATAATAGTTTTTTTCATGCTGGGGAGCAAAACATCAAATGTTGCACTCCTGACATTATTGGGTATGCACATATACTTGACTCTCATTAATGCTGCTTGTGATTTATATAACATTTTTAAGGTTTAAAATGTATATCAGTTATTGTTTTACTCTTTGAAAATTCTTTTTTGTCTTAATTTTCTTTCAGAATTTTACAATTGATGTCCTTTTGGCAACACTACATTTTTTCTGTTGCACTCCTGACATGGTATAACATTTTTTTAAACATCAACCATGACCACAATTTGATTAAACGAAAGTTACTACAGTCCAGATTTAAAGCTCAATACTTTGAATATTATCAGGAAAGTCTTTATTTTTAACATAAAGCATTATTATTTATTTCACAGATCTCCAAAAAATATTGAAATTTCAAAATGTCACAAAAAGGTGTTGCACTCCTGACAATTTTAGCATCATTTTTGGGCATAACTTTTTTGTTAATTGAGATATCAACGAGATATCAGGTATTTAGACACTATCTAAAGACATATGCTGAGACATAGAAATCTATTTTCATTGCCTGTATTTTTAGTGTGGGTTGATAAATATGCGTTTGGTCATTTTTTTTAAATTCACCCAGATGTGCTCTGAATCAGCTTGGGTAATAATAGCAAACTATCAAAGTTTTAATTCCTATATAAACATCGAACAATTAGACTTTATAGACTTCTCGTGTAGGGAGAGGGCGAAATAAGTTTTAAGAACTTGTGCCCAATCCTATATATATTACAATAAAATATGTTCAACTCAAGAAAATATTTTTTCAAAGTTTAGGGGAAAAAAAGTTTGTTTTTTTTTTTTTTGGGGGGGGGGGGATAGAATATTGTTTACAGGATACAGACAAAAAGTAATGGTATAAGTATTTTGTGTTCCAACAGAGGACAATAAAAGTTTTCTTACTGTTAAGGACTTAATAGAATAGAAGAAAATCATTTCTGCGACTGCACCATATTTTAAGAGTTACAGCAAGACAATGCAAATGAATATATACATGTACTGTTCTAGTACGAGTTCGAATAATAAGATTGGAAAATAAAAGATGAAAAACTGTGTACGCAAGACATTAAAACAGCTATGCCGACTTCTTTAAAATATGAACAATCAAATATTCATACCACTTGTGTAAAAGTTGTATTTGAGTAAATAAGTTTTACTGAGTGAGACAAAGCAATATTCATTTCACATTATACATTTCATCCATCAGAATTTCACTTGAAAAGAACACTTTATTGAAACTTAAGTGAAATATTTTCACGGGAAATTCAAATTGAATTCATCTGAAACTTGTTCGTAGATTTCTCTTGAGGCATTTTTGTGGTTGTTATTATAATAGGATATTTTCAATTTTTTTTTACATTAATTGCAACTGCATTAATATTGACGTAAATTTTATAATATAGAATATTTGCTTACCAAAATTTTAGACTATAACATTGTGAATTAGTGAATTAATAAAAATAAGCTTTCTTCAAAATTATTATTACGTGGTGAAATATAATTATTACTGTAACAGTTTTAGATCTGTTAGTCATGACATATTTTTGTACTGGATTCATACTGGCATTTTGTTTCCAATTTCTATCGTTACCAGAGCTACAAAAAATCCATATAAAAAAAGGGGGAAAATATTTGTTCATAGGTTCCAGCGAGGCTCGAACTCGCGACCTTCTGCATGTTACATGTAAACAGATGTGATAACCACTACACCATGGAACCGTTGAATACTATAATTTGCATTATAGATAAAATTATAAGCCAGTATGCAATCGATTAGTATTAGGTTTATCCTCTCTTACAATGTTAATATATCAGCAAAAATACCTTTTCATTGTTTTCCTATGGATAAGTAGTGAGTTTATGACCAAAATAATTTTAGTAATGGGGTGAAACAAATAAAATTGAAGAAAATAAGTCACCTTTAAGTAGACTTTCAGTTAACTGAACGGCAGAGTTTCATCCTGTGGGTACTTAATGTTTTTTAAACACTTTCTGTATACTTTTAAATATTACAACCCATTTTTAAAATTATAAAGAAAATGTTGAAAACGTCAGGTAACTGAGCATATATTTGACAGGTGGATGAATCGTCAGAAGATACTTCGCCAGAAAGTCAATTTTTTTAGGGATGGGGTGGCAAAAAGTATTTCAATAACTAATAATTTTTGATTATCTTAATAAAAGGGTTGCATAATTACTCTATGCGACCTTGACTTAAAATATAATTTTAAGAGCAAGATTTTGAATATCCTGATCTGTTAAGACAATGATGTTATTTACCATAAAAATTAACTTCTTGTGTCAATATTTATGTTAAATTTAAATAATTAATTTTATCAATAGGCTTATTACATCAAATGTAGTACCAGGATATTTTCAACATCACTTCAGAAGGAAAAAATGAACAGGTTCCAGCGAGGCTCGAACTCGCGACCTACTGCGTGTAAAGCAGACGTGATAACCACTACACCATGGAACCACATAATGTACCATAGTCTTTATTTCATTATAGATATTTTAGCTCAAAACAAATTACAATGTTGAAAAACTACTTTTTCGATTAAAAAAAACACATTCGAATCGGATTCAGCATCCAATTATTTAGGCATTGTTAATGTCTTCATACTTCTGTACATAGTACGTAAACAAAACAGGATAAATTTCATAAATAATCTACTATTTAGCCTCATTAAAAGTATAATTATTCCATGATATCTTCATATCGACATAAGTCAGTGGTTTCCTAGAAATGAATTTCCTTGAAATGTATATACCAAGAATTCAAATATTGTTTATCCTGTTTTTATCGGCCGCAGGAGCGGCCGATCTATTTGTGGTTGTGTTAGAATGTGCACAATGAGGAATTGAGACGTTGTTTATTCTTTGCTGCGACGGAATAATACTTTATTGATGACAAACAAAAAAGTTATGAATATAAGTTTTAAATATTCGCTTAATACTTAGTCTTTATGGTTGTTATTAGGTTTCAGTTTGTTTCTTCATTTCACATCAGATATTCATTTATTTATGATTTTATAAAAAGTTGTTGCATGAACTGTTCCCCAAGATGGGCGTCCATGGGATATAAAAACAAAACGTATTGAGTTTCCGGATTACAGTGCCAAAAATAACAAAAAATTTGTAAAGGTTTTAATAGTAAGTGAATTTTGTTTTGAATACAATAATTTGCAAGTGTCACAATAACATTTATTTCAAAGAACCATTAAATCATCATTTAATCATAAATATTTGTGTTTTTCTGCTATTTGATGTTTTTCTTCTTATATGATCTTTTCTTAGCTTTTACTGTCATTGAATTAAAATTATGTGGAAAAAAATAAGATTAATTATATTTTATCTAACCCCCCTCCCCCCAAATGTAGGATTGTAATGAAATATTACAACACAACAAAACATATTTAGCTCTAGATTTTTTTAAACATATTTTTTCAGAAATGTTCTTTTATTTATTACTCTTAAATGCAAGTCTCAACTTCAAATGAATTTAAAAAAGCCAAAGTCGCATAGAGTAACTATGTAACCCTTTTATGAGGAAAATCAAGTTATTAGTCCATAATGAAATACTTTTAGCCCCACCAATCCCTCCAAAAAAATGACTTTCTGTCAAATATAAGCTAAGATACCTTAAAAATGGAATTAAATATTTATTTATGAAGAAAGTGTTTGAAAAACGTTAAGTACCTGTGATTCTCCTTATAAAAAGAAGTAGTAATTTGTGAATTAAACATTCACATGATACACTTATATGACAAGATCTTGACATGTATGTTTTTTTAGCCGGGCTTTGCTGAAAGCAAAGTCCTAGTTAGAACAGGAAGAGCAACAAGGAGGATTCAAGGTTAACAATATGTTCTCTTTGTTTAAACGAGTGTCATGATGCCAAAGAGAGGGAGATGAAAGCTGCATGGAGTCGAAAAGATTTACCCTCTTTAAAAAAAATCAACTTTTTTAAATTAGCTATCAGTGTTTACCTTTTCTGTAATAAAGAAAACGCAAGTAAACTTTTTTTTTCTACAATTTTATTTGTTTTACCCCATTACTAAAATTATTTTGATCATAAACTCACTACTTATCCATGTGACAGGAAAACAATGAAAAGCGTATTTTTGCTGATATATTAACATTGTAAGAGAGGATAAACGTAATACTAATCGATTGCATACTGGCTTATGATTTTATCTATAATGCAAATGATAGTATTCAGCGGTTCCATGGTGTAGTGGTTATCACATCTGCTTAACACGCAGAAGGTCGCGAGTTCGAGCCTCGCTGGAACCTATTAGCAAATACTATTTCCTTTTTTCCCCGCTTACACTGAAAGTGGGGGAAATTAATTTTGGTCTTTATATCGGTCTTTCCGTTCGTCTGTCTACATTTCTGTCTGTCTGTCTGTAACACAGATTTGATTGCTTATTCTTTTAAATGTGTACAGAAGATTCTTATCTTATCTTATATTTATATAAAATATTTATTACACTGTAATAATGATTTTATGAGAAGGTTTGTACACGACAGACGTCATAACTGTTTGTATGAAACTGGGCGCGGATCTATATAAATACTTTGTGCATATTGGTGCTTTGCGTGTTATTCACCACTTCCCATTGGTCTTTTTCTAATTATATATTTTTCGTTTGACCAACAAATACTTGTACTTTGTCTGAAAATATCGCAGATTTCCACTTGTCCTTATAATGTCCAATTTTTTGTTCTTAACACGTTTGATATTGTCAATATTTTTAACAACACATGGTGTCTAATTTAGCCTTTACTAAACAGTTCTAATAGATGTACTAATGTAAATAGAATATAAAGTCCTCCAACAACCAGTATAATATGTAATAACTCTCCACATGCTCCTGTGCTAAAACTTTTAATACAAACGGGGAGTTTTTTGAGCGTGATCGATTCCAACAAATTTTCAATTGACTTTCGAAAAAAACGAAAATTGACCACAGATAGAAAAAAAAAAACAACGGGGCGGGACACTTTGAGAGGGGTGGGCGGGAGTTACGGTATAAAATTTCATTGCAAAAGCTCAACAGCCTCTTGAGATATCGCCCGGAAACGAAAGTATTACACACGGACAGAATGTATGAATTTACGACCTTGACCTTTGACCTTTGACCTCAAAATCAATGGGGGTCTTTCCTAGGTTATAGGGAGTTGTGGTATAAATTTTCATTGTAAAAGCTCAAAGGCTTCTTGATATCGCCCGGAAACGAAAGTATTAAAACAGACAGAATTTATTATTTATTACCTTGAATATCAAAGATAAAATACATTATTTCTTTCTTTGAAGGGGAGTATAATGTTGAAAAAGAGATATACTAGTCTTGAAAAATATATATACATTTTTTGTCCTATTCAGAAATCATAAATTATGCAAAATATCCGTCTGGCATGAAAATAAAACAAGAAATGCATTTGCCTGTGTGTCGCGTGTCATGTTCTACAAATTTTGTAATCACTCCCATCCAGTCAATTCAAATTTCAGAACATGGCATGCTGATGCAGGAAAATTATGAAACGGTCGATAAAACCATGGAGTTTTTACATAAGTCGATAAGCTCTGGTTCATGATTTTAACCATAATGTAGATTGTGAAAGACTGTGGTTTCATGGTGTAGTGGTTATCACGTCTGCTTAACACGCAGAAGGTCGCGAGTTCGAGCCTCGCTGGAACCTCGCTTAGTATTTTTTTTTACACATAATTTCAATAATTATAATATATAACAAAAGGAAATCAGGTCATTTAATTTCAAGGCTGATGGTAATCACCAAACAAAATAAGCTCGGAACTTTTTTCCATGTTCAGCAAATTATAATGACATCCTAGGTAAAAATGGCGAGACTAATGCGAGATTGTGTGTAAAATGACCATAACGAACATTAATTAATCTCAGAAATCTAGAAAAGAATAAAAATGTGAACAGTACAACGACACCTTGAAACACCAGAGGGATGGGTTCATTTACTTAGGAGTAAGCGTCCCCTGTAGTCCGTTCATTTCCGCCGTGAGCTTTATGTATTGATCAGGAAGATGAAGTAATCCATAGTCAACTTTAGTAAAAAAAAATATATATATATATATATATATATATATATATATATATATATATATATATATATATATATATATATATATATATATATATATATATATTGACCTAACAATTGATAAGAAACATATCAGACAAAATATACTATAGGATGTTTTTGAAAACAAGGTCATTATGACGACCATAGAAGTGATGACTTTAAACGATATTGTGGAAATCCCTGTAACAGCAAACATATTTGCCAGTAGCCTGCCTCTGTTTAAAAATTTATGCGGCCCTTTGTTATCAAATCAGTAGGGAGACATAACAAGAATCCCATGGTCCACAATGCTCACCTAAGTCAATATGGTCCTATTGTTCTTCATCACCAAAAAATATTTCTATGTAAAAATTTGATCACATATTGTGGTCCAACCCTATCCTCGGAAGTCATGATTTTAATAAACTTGAATTTACACTACCTGAGGATGCTACCATAGAAATATGAAAAATCATGCTTCTGCTGTTCTTGAATAGAATATTTTTGAAGAGTTTTCCTACGTAAAACTTTGATCGCCCATCGTGGCCCCACCCTACCCCTGGAGGTCATAATTTGGACAAATATGAAACTACAATATCTGCAGATATATCCATAGA